ACCCCCCCCCACCCTACCTTCGACTTCAGACGTGAGGACCAGGACTACATCTGCCCTAACTGCGACCGCACCTTTACCTCACACATCGCCCTGGTCGGTCACTTGCGAATCCATCGCACAGAGACTGGCGAACCAGTGCCTGGAGCACCAACCTACACCCACCGCACTCGCCTCCACTGCCCACACTGCCCTCGCACCTTCACGCATCGCATGGTTCTATTCGACCACCTGCCCATTCACGAGAGCGGAATTGACCACAATTACGACACACCAACCACGTCCAACGCATCCACCATGCCCAGCCCCACCGTCGTTCCATTGCCCGCGCCCATCATCACCACCACCACCGCCTCCTCTGCAGCTGAAACCGACACCGCCGTCTTCTCGTGCCCACACTGCCCACGCACGTTCACCTCACACATCGGCCTGGTCGGTCACTTGCGAATCCGTCGCACAGAGACTGGAGAACCAGTGGCTGGAGCACCAACCTATACCCACCAAGCTCGACTCAACTGCCCACACTGTCCTCACACTTTCAGGCATTGTATGGGCCTATTCGGTCACATGCGCATCCACGACGACCTGCGGTAGACAACCGCTGGCAACATACGACAACACCCGCCCTGCATCCACCACCCCACCACACATCAACACTCACCCACCGCAAGCACCCAATTGCCACCCTCCACGTATGTCGGAAGTGCGCATTTCGACTCGGTCCCCATGCGGCTTCGGCTGCACGGGTAACCTGAGTCTGAGACTATCCCGAAACGTCAAGTGTCGTGGATAGGAAGGTTGCTGATTGACGCTCCATTCGGTTCACGCAGTTCGTCGCGTTGTGTGTGTGTGTGTGTGTGTGTGTGTGTGTTGTGTGGAGTGGCGGACTGGTGGGCTGGGGACGGGCTGAAACATCACCTTCCACGGCCCTCTCACGCAAGTGAGAGACACGCCGTTCAACCCCCGTTGTGTGAAATCCTGGTGTTTTTGTGTATGGGGGGCCAGGTCGTGCTGTGGCGCGCGCAGCCATGGTCAGTCGACCGTGCCAGCCACCGTGCCCATTTACTACTCCAGTCTGTTGACCGGCTCGGACAGCGGCTGGTGTGGGAATGGGAAGGGAGAGTGAGGTCGACGACTCAGCGCACTTTCTCCTCACTATAAACAATCTGACGCGTTTAAGCTATCACGGTGCGCTAAAAGCCGTGGCTTGGAAGGTTGCCAACTGACGGGGTAACTTGGACCTCCTCCTTGACCGGTGATGGTTTGAGAGTCAGGCTGCAATGGCTCCTTTTTAATGTGGCCTTTATGGCACTCCCATCACAGTGTGGGATCCGAGCCAGGCGTTGGCGGCGCGCCTAGGTGCGGCTGCTTCGGCCGTGCCAGCCTCCAATCTCTGTTGTGCTGGTTCAAATCCTGTTCATGTTTGCGGATCAGTGGCTGCGGAGTGGAGCGCCAAGGCGATGATCCGTCCGAGTCATCCACCTGCGGCTCCCCTCGTCTCCGGTCTTCTTGTCCTTGTCTTGACACCAGGCTCAGACGGGGGAGGAGGAGAGAGTGTAGGTAGATGCAGCGCATGTCTACTGGCACTATAGACCCCTGCGCAATTCACCGTCCCTGCCCCTACCAGTGCTGCTGTGGGTCACACGGTGGACATAATCGAAATCGATCGTCGAACTATCGATTAGTTCGACATCCGTGCGGTCCGAGGAAAGAAGTCTACGCTTCCTTGCATGTCCCCCTCGGTTGTGCTGTCCAGCTTGCAGTCATTGGCGAATAAGAGATCGTGGTCAATGGCCCTGAATATTTTCGGCTCTGTCTGCATAAGTGGAATGTTGTCCATGGGTACACTCCTCACGGTTCTGCTCACAGCCCGGCGGAGAACATGTCGAAATATGTTGGTCGACAACTTGAAGGTTCCCAAATCTGAAGGCAGGGAACACAGGTGGATGGGTAATCTCTTACTGATGCCGAGAGTGTATATACAGCATCCCAATCAGTTCCAGCAAGCGTTCTCCCCAGGCAAGTGTCAGCCGAAGCCCATATACTCGAAATCCGTCCGGTTGCGGCCAGTCCGTGAAGAGAGAAATATCGATTGACGCCATGCTGTCGCAAGACGCCGGTTAAATCACGCATGTTATGTGGACAAAAGACGACATGAGCAAGCAATGGCGCTGACGACCGTGAGGGCGGGCAGCTACAAGCATGCGACTGAAGAGGGTGGGAGCAGGTACGCAATGCTGCTTAACCAGATTTATCGCCAGAAATGCTTCCGGCACTGACTCATCGCCCGTGGAGCGCGCCATGGTGCTTTCGCTCAGCGAATGCTTCCGGACATCTTAATTTCAGCACATCGTTACATAGGCCATAAAAACGTAGCGTAAAAGCTAATTTTCTTGGTATTTGTCTTAGATTTAGCGGGTCGCGCTTGTTGACGGTTATTTTCGGAATACGCGCTTTTAAATGGAACAAAACTCTCTTAGCGTTGGATATAAAGGCAACTGAGCAGCACGCAAGCGAATTTCTTGTTAAAAATTATAAACAGGGAGATGGCTCAGTGGTTTTTGCCGATTTACGGCCTGCTTTCCTTTCGCGTAGGTGAATAGCCATTGCATCTCTCAGATCGTACGAGATTTGTCGTTGTACCTACATCCCCTGAAAAAGTTATTTAGCTCGTCCATACTTGCACGCCTTGCCAAGGGTTGAGTCAGATCCTAGGGTTTCACTGCTGGACATGCATTGCAATACCCTGACTGTCCGTACGGGAGAGCGGGCATTTGAAGACAACATTTGTCCCCACGTGAGAACGTTTATTAATGGCCTACTAGCAAATTGTAGATATGCGGTGGAAGACGTTCTGGTATGACGCGGAAATAAGGACCTATACGTATTACACGTGGCCTTGCACTGAATTCCAGGACCTCAAACCTAACTCTAAACATCATCTCTCTGGGAATAAACGCGTAGTCAACTGCATTACTGGGAATTCACATTCCTGTCGCCTACCAACGCCCTGAAACGCCTACCCAGCGTATAACAATCGACGCGTTGGAAGAAGATGCGGTCTCTTGAGCAAGAAGTGTATTGGTCGGACTTCTTGGGTTCTCACACGAAACTATCCCTAGAGGCAGTAGCAGATAAGGGAGCTGGGAGCGCAA